GAAGGGCCGTGGTGCTTGCGACGCAGCCAAAGTGGTTCACCAAAGATTGCGCAAGCTGTAGTGCGAATCTGCCACGCTTAGCGAGGCGTGGACCGCCCCCTGCGCGGCGCTGCGTACCCGGTTGCCCAGGACAGTGGACGGTGGGCGTCGGATGGCGCAGGGCAGGACAGGCAGGACGGATGATGCGTATGCATTGTATACGTGTGTGTGTATGGGGTGGATGGATGATGGAGGAGACGTACACTAGATGGATGGATAGTGGGTGCGTGGGTGAGTGGATGAATAAGGGCCGGGCAGATGAGGCGCGGCCTGGCGCTTCTTCTGCCTGCGCGTGGTTGCAGGTGACGGTCACGGCTGGTCGGTGTTGTGGGTTCTAGACATGAGGAAGCCGCGACAGGGCCGCGTCAACCCGCCCGCATGCGGTAAGCGCGAGTCGTCGTCGTCTTGCCCCATCCCTCAATCAATTACCCTCGTCCACCTGCGTCCGCTGCAGCGACACCACGACTCTACCGACGCCGCCTCTGTGTCTTTCTGCGCTGCTCCGCTGCCTGCACTTCCACAGAAGAGCCATCGCCGTCTTCGCGCCCGTCGACAGCAGCAGCGGCAGCCTTTTCCCAGAATACAACATCTGCAAGTGGCTGTCCGCGTTGCTGCGCCGCCGCATCATCGGGCTGTGCATCCACTGCCAAACCTGCAGCGCCTGTCCACCACGCTATACACAGCTCCTCCCCCCCGACGCCATCCACCCTCCCCTCGACACTCCACCACCCCCATCATCACAACAACCCCCGCCGTTGCGACTGTTCCTCGCGCCCGTCGACAATGGATCACAACACCCGCGCTCCTCGCGCTGCCACCAACGCCATGGACACGGACAGGCTGGCCGCCGAACTGACTGAGCAGTTCCGCCACGTCCTCAGCACAAAGCGAATCAACGACCTCACATCTCGCTCATCTCAATCCCGCTCCTCATCACCAGCGCCCCGCGACTTTGGATCCCCCCAGCCGCCGCCCTCGCAAGCAGCCCCACCGGCCTACTCGTCTATCAAGAACATCCCCCTCGTCCCAGAACCCCCACGTGATGCTCGCTCCCTCCGCTTCAAGAACATGCTCCACTCGCTCTCCAACATGCCCGTGCGATGGGAAAACCCCGGACTACTCGACGAGGCCCTTCGCGTCATCCCGCTTGAGCAAATCTACAACGAGGCTGAAGAGGAAAGCCAGATCCTGCAGGCCGAGGCCGAGAGCATGGGTGCTGGCAAGAAGGCAGCATGGGGCTACCAAGACTGCGTCGTCCGCGCACTGCTGCGATGGTTCAAGCGTTCCTTCTTCTCATGGGTCAACAACCCTCCCTGCTCGCGATGCTACTCACCCACCGTTGCCATGGGCATTACACCACCACTTCCCGACGAACAGGCCCGCGGCGCCAGCCAGGTTGAGGCCTACCGATGCTCCAACGACAACTGCAGAAACTACGAGCGTTTCCCCCGATACAATGACGCCTTTGTCTTGCTCCAAACCCGAAGAGGCCGATGTGGTGAATGGGCAAACTGCTTCAGCATGCTCTGCCGCGCCGTTGGCTCAAGAGTACGCTGGGTCTGGAATGCCGAAGACCACGTCTGGACCGAAGTCTACTCTGTGCACCGCAAGCGATGGGTCCACGTAGATGCCTGCGAAGAGGCATGGGATAAGCCCCGGCTATACACTGATGGTCAGTCTCTTTCCAAGATGCATACACGACACACCAACTAACATTGTTTCCAGGCTGGGGCAAGAAGCTCTCTTACTGCATTGCCTTTTCGGCCGATGGTGCCATGGACGTCACCCGCCGATATGTCCGTGACGCTAAGCATGCTGCCGAGCGCAACCGCGCACCAGAGGCAGTTCTCCTCTACATCATGGATGAGATCCGAGCAACACGACGAGCCAACATGTCCAAGCAGGACAAGTTCCGCCTGCAGGGCGAAGACATCCGCGAAGCCAAGGAGCTCCGTGCCGGTGTCATCTCATCCATTGCACAGGCCGTGTGCAAACTACGACCCGAAGATATCATCAACGGCCAAGTAACACGCCGACTAGATGCCGATGCTCAAAAGGCACTAGAAGGTCGTATGAGCGGCAACTCGGCATGGATACGAGCCCGCGGCGAGGGTGGTCAACAGCAAAACCAGCAAGACCCCCGAAACCAACACCCACGATGAGACTGTGGGTAGAAGCCCAAAGCACGCACACCACACTCACTACCATAGCCGGTAACTTGTTCGTCGCACTGTTGTCTACATGACTAGCCAGAGCCAGGGCATTGGTACCAGGTGAGATTCGCTTGGTGCCCTTTTCATGAGCAGGCATGCAGACGGTGCGATGTAAGCCGGTTCTCTTCCGAAATGATACCCGCGACATTCGCTATGCGGAAGAAGCTCCGGCGTGTAAAATATAGAATCTGGGATTCATGTCGATTTGGATTCATTTGCGCTGGCGTTCAGGAGCAAGTTTACAGGAGAGACATAAGCGGTAAACTCTAATGTCTTGACCCGGACCTCGACTGAGGTTTTCCTAGTCGTTTTTTCTTCTATTCTTCTCCATCATCATCATTCTTCTTCTTCTCCTTCGCTGTCATCTCTCTTTGCCTCTCTCACTCTCTTGTGTCGCGTTGTATTAGCGACCAAGGCGTCTTTTTTTTCCTTTGCGCATTGCAATGTTGCATTCTTCACTTCTACTTGTTTGTGTGTGCGCAAGGGGCTTTTGCTTGCGACACTGTTTATACCACTTGGCATCAGGATTTTTTTCACGAATTGCGACCGGATTTCTTATGTTTTATTTCGTATGTCACGAGCATTTCTGGGCTTTGTACGCATGATGTATGGGATTCACGTTTGCGGGCATTTTGGACTGGATGCTAGCAGGCAGGTGAGATGGATGAGTTGTACAGACGGGAGGTGTGGGGATCCGCAGCAGCAGTAGGGTGGTGAGCAGGAGGAGGGGTTGACGCGCGTCCGTAGCGCCCCATACGCAGGGCAGACTGCAGGATTAGTGGGCAGCAGGCCAGATAGGAAATCAAGGACCAAGATTGGTCATGTATCTGCAATAGCTGCGAAGCACATGCCCGTGATTATCTCGACGACGTGTCTATGTCGAGGTGTGAGTGAAAGATTTGCAAGGGACGCGCGTTGGGGGTGGTGGCACGCAGGCGGTCAGGCCTAGGGGCACACGATGACAAAATGGCAGCAAATAGTGTCTATCTACTCTGACACTACATGAGATATTGATGGCTATTGGGCCAGGGGAACAAAGAAGAAAAAGAAAAATAGAGAAGGTGTACTACTACTACAAGGAAAAGCATAACTAGATGTTTCACGAGCGACGAGCGAAAAGGGTCATAATAATACGGAATTATTAACTATACCTTATAGTTAAAGTGTGGGCGGTGATGGGACGGGATGGGGGGACCCTCATGCACGACAGCGAAAGGATGCGAGTCATGTGAGATCAGCGGCCGTTCTTTTTTTTTTCTTCTCCAGCTTCGGATCCAGTCACAGAGGGGGACGGACGGCTGAAGAGCGGCAGGTGAAGAGGGGGCAAAGCTGGAAGAAGGGAAAGGGAAGAAAAAAAGAAGGGTGGACAGACAGACAGGCTTACATGGCTCTTGTCTAAAAATAGGTATGAGGGCACGACATATACCCAATCAGGCCTAGTTCTGTGTGAGATTTTGAGGGGGGGATTGGGGAGGGGGGGGCGCGGTTAGATGTCAGCGTCCGTGTGTGTATGTGTGTGTGTGTGTGTGTGTGTAGGAATGTGGCGGTGACGGAGGGAAGGATGGGGGAGGCTCTGCCATGGCTGTGCGTCTTTTTTTTTTTGCTGGAGACTTGGCTTTTGGGCAACTAGCAGGGGAGATTGGCAGAGAAAAGGACGAGTGTGTGGCCGCGTGGAGGTCAATCAAGAGGAAAGGCAGAGTAGTTCGCGAAGAAGCGCCGAAGTGTGGGAAGAGTGCTTGGCAGAGAGAGAGAGAGAGGGCTCGAGGCGGTGTTGCATGTATGGGTGCGTAGCGCGGGTGAGGGTAGGACCGAGGGAGGTGTGGCGGCCTTGGGAGTTGGAGAGTGGAGAGTGGAGAGTGGAGAGAGAGGGTACAGTAGAGGGTCTGAAACTGTGTTTGAGGACTTGGCCCTCGTTAGTCATGACGGGGGTTTTAGGCGTGGACCACTTGGTATCTTGGTATCACTTGAGTGCATAGGTGTGCATTTTCTACTCATGCGCTGACGATAGAGTGTTTTCTACAGCCGTCGGGTGAGCCCAGCCACAATGCGTTATGGGGCCAAGAGCCGCGATGAGTTAAGCATGTGTATGCGTGGACAGGATCAGCAAGCGTATAGAGAGTGGTTCGTCGTCGTCGTCGTCGTCGTCTTCTCACTGCACAGAGCGTTTGTTAGACAACATTTCCCGCGCGTCGACAGCTGCAGTGCCTATGTCAGCGGTGGATGAACCCACAGCTGTCGCAAGCTCAGTGAGGCTGGTGAAGGACTAAGCAAACCACCGCCCGTTCCCAGGGCCCCGCCACTTGGACGCCGTTCGACTACACAGGCCAACAGCTGGCACGCCCCCCACCAAGCTGCCTGCCCACTCACCCTCAGCCCCCCTCGGCTGCCCTCCTCCGCCCTGCGCATTTCAGCTGCGGCCTTGGTCTTTTGCCTGCGACTGCTGGTTCAAAAGGCTAGTAGTCCAGCGCCCATTTTGCTTCATCCCACTCGCTACACACCTGCATACTCTCGACATCCACCTCGTCTGCATTCACTCATCTGCCCTTCACCCTTTCCACCTGCACCTGTAACACCCGTAGCCACAGTCGTTACCCGGTCGATAGCCCGTGCGCCCGCTGTGTGACATCAGCCAGCCCTTGCTTGGTATCCCGCAATTCTACTACTACTACAACTACTACAACAATAACCCTCAACCCACATCTACAGCAAGCCCACTTTTTCTTTTTCCACCCACCACCACCACAAAACATGGGTAAAGCCGGCCGTTTTGCGTGTATCATCACGCCTCTGGCTCTCACTCTCGCATCTTTAGTATGCTTTGTCATTGTCATGCTCGGCCAAACGCCATGGAAGGGCAACAACGCACCAGCTACAGCCCTTGGCCGCGAGCTCTACTTCATGAAGGTATGTTCTTTCTATACCCCGCAGTCTCCCTCTTGTCAAAGCACGCATTCTGACCCCGCCAACAGGCTGATACGTCAAATATGACGCTCGACTCACAAACCATTCTCGACAAACTTCCTGAAGGTCTCACCCCCAACAACGATTTCCTCGACGCTCTCCGTGGCAAGGCCGACTCCAAGGAGCTCAAGGACTTTTACCAGGTCGGCCTCTTCTCATACTGCGAGGGAGAAACCAACAAGGAGACTGGCGAGGAAAAGATTACATACTGCTCTGCTCGCAAGTTCAAGTTCCACTTTGACCCTCTCAAGGTCTGGGGCATGAACGGTACTGCTCTGCAGGAGGCTCTGGGCGACAAGTACGATGACGGAATGAATGTCTACAAGAAAGTTGCTGGCTGGATGAACTGGGCCTTTGTCATTGTCATTGTCTTGACCCCCATGGAATTCCTCGTTGGCTTCTTTGCCATCTTCTCCAGGTGGGGCAGCCTCGTCACTACCGTCATCTCTACCGTAAGTTCTCTCTTCAGATCATTGTACTTGCCACAAGCCAGCCTTGCTAACCCATCTGCTCCAGGCCCAAACCATCTTCGCTGTTGCCGCCGCAATTACTGCATCTGCAACCTACGGCACCCTGACTGGTGTCTTCAGGACCGCTCTTGACCCCTACAATATTGACGTCAACATGGGCTCCCGCATGATCTCTACCTTGTGGCTCGGTGTCGCTTTCTCCATTGCCTCTGGCTTCTTCTGGCTCATCAGCACCTGCTGCTGCAGCGGAAAGAGCGATAGCAAGAAGATGACTGTCGAGAAGACCCCTTACACTTACGAGCGTGTTGCCAGCCCCGCTTTTGGCGGCCAACAGGGTCACCAGATGCAGAAATGGCCTAGCAGCCAGAAGCAGACTCCCCAGATGGGCGGTACCGCTTACGAGCCCTTCAGGTCCAATGTCTAATTGACCAACATGGCTTGAATCAATCTAGTAGGCGTTTGCTGTTGGAGTTGCCATCCTCTCTCTCCATGAGTTTTTGGATAGATGTGGGGCCTTGTGGTTCTATAACGACCTGTATGACCATTTGCGAGTGGGGTTTCTTACTGTTGTTGGTTTTTCTTTTTGCTCATTCCGTTTCTCGTGAGGTATATACCCCCGACATGACCTGGAAAACGGCGTTTTTTTTTCTGTTGCAGATTCTTTTGAAGGTTTTTCTTCCGGTATAGCATAACATACCATCTTGGTGGAAAGGGGCATCGCAGTATCAGTCGCTCTGGCGAACAAATCAATATAAAACAAAGATATCAAGATCAAATACACTCATCCATGTCTGACCTTTTGATGTCATCGTGTTGCTTAGATCTCTCTCTCTCTCTCTCTCTCTTTTTCTAGCTTTTGTGCAAGAGTATGATGCTTTCCACTTGTTCAATTCAAGGCTATTATCTCATTCATTGGCAAATATCAAATTCATGAAGAAATTCGTTTTCTTTACGAGCATCACTCTTTCTTCTATCTTCAGATGAAAACATTTCTACAAATCACCAATGTACATAACTTGAAAGGTACCGTAGCGTAGTACCAGCCAAAAAAAAACTCCCTATGCAACATCTCTTCCCCCCCCCCCCCCCCCCCCCCNCTTTTTTTTTCCCTTACTACTACTTCTCCACTCATGGGCACATTAACCCGCCCTTTCCCTCTTCATCCACTCCTAACTCGATCCCAGATTTTACTGCTCATGGGTCCCGACAAACCTAGGCGGAAGATCCAAATCCCAGCTCGGGCGCTCCACGAGCACGACTTCTGGCGCTGAGCCATCGTCGCTATCAGCGGCAATAGGTACGATACCGAGAATGGGTCTGTACTTGAATGTGTGCCACCATGCCTCGGTGCGCTTGGCGAGTGCGGTACCATTTACCGTGTCTTCTGCTTCAGTCTTTGTGGGTTCGGCATCTTCGTCTTCGTCTTCGCCTTCTTCTTCGTCGACTATGTCTTCGTCGTCGTCGGTGGTGCGAGGCACAGCGTTGACATCGACCCATTTCCCACGACCGGTCTTGTCCGCCTCGTCGCTGTGGAACTTGCGCATTTTACTGACTGGAGCTTCTTTCCTGGGTATAACGTCACCCGCGCCAGACGAGGTGTGCTTGAGGGTTTCGCGCTTGCGTTTTTTGCCGTTGGACTCGCTGGTGTCGGAGGGGGCGAAATCTTTGGATAAGTCGAACATGAAGAGCCATTTTTCGCCGTAGAGCCATATCCGTTGTTGGGAGGCGGAAGAGTCCCAGATGCAGCCTTTGGCGGGGAGGTCGATTTGTTTGTATTCGCGGGGGTAGCTGGAGGGCGGGTTTCGGCGGGACCAGTCGGAGAGGCGGCCGGACATTACGTCGAAGAGGTAGAGTTGGTGCTCTGCCGATACGAGTAGCAGTTTGTACTCTGTAGTAGGAAGCTCGTGGGATTTGGGGTGCGGGTTGTTCCTGGTAGCATGGACAGCGGGGTTACCGTTTGGTTCTGGTCGATCGGAGGATTCTAGGTTGGGCTGGAAGGAGAGCAGCACAGGTGTCGAGTCTAATCGAGGGAGCAGATGACCTGAAGGATTTCGTATCCAGTGCTGTCCAAGGTATATGATCTGTTCACTCGGCTCTTCCTCTTCATCATCCGAACCATCATTGTCTACCATGGGGGTTGAGTCGTCGATATCAATCTCTGGGGCAGTCGAATCCTCGTGTCCTTGGACGACCCAAGTATCCACATATCCAGCAAGATCAACAACAGCGAACACGTTGCCATCCCTTGAGAAATCTGCATGTGCAATGGATCGCTCGTAGATTCCAGAAGGACCACTGAGAGAATTCCTTGCAATGGTATCACGATCCAAGCGATGTAAGGCTTGCACCTTCTCCAATGCACGGGGTGTGTCTGATGGGTCATCTGTCCTCACAATCCTGACCAACCGGATTTCATCAGTGGCCAAGACAGCAGCGAGCCATTTACCAGTTGCAGACATTCTCAGCGACTTCGCACCCGGGATCGAAGGCATTTCCAACTTTCGCACACGCAGTCCAGCACCAGCTCCAGCCTGTTGATGTAACAGCTGAAACAACTTGACCGTGCTGGCTGTAGAAACAGCAAGTAGCCCACCGTCGCGAGAAATGGAAACCGAAATGATGTTTTCTTCACCCTGGAGGGCGAGTCGTGCCACCACCTTGGGCTTTTCTGTACCATCCTCCTGTGGTTTCACACGCCAGATACGAACTTCAGTATTCCACCAGCTGACCAGCAACCTTGCATCTGGAGCACTTGTCATAGGAGGAGCAGGAGGTAAAGCTGGGAGACCACGACTGAGCTCCTTTCCGAAAGTACGAATGGGCACAACAATGGGCTGTGTATCAATACCTAGACGTGTATATGTTAGTCGATTACTACTGAACGTAATAGGATTGCTCTACCTCCGGTGACGACAACGCTGAGTTTGTTGCCTTCGTATGTTGTCATGGCTTTGACATCGTGCTCGTGATACTTCTGGTGGGACACCTTTCGCCATTTTCCGCTCTGTCCCTGGGATTGTCCCTTCTTGCTTGTGTAGAAGCAGGTGCGTCGGTCCATGCCTGCACTGAAAATGCCAGATCCATCGCGGGTCACAGCCAGATCGAGGACATCGGCTTCATGTCCGGATATCCGTTGTGTCTGACTGTAGTTCTTGCCGCTGTAGGTTCTAATATCTCCGGTAGAGTCTCCAGACACAAAGTCGCCGTTCGGAAGGCATTTGACCTTCCATACCAAGATCTCCTTGGGGCCACCGTGAGGCCCGCTGCCCAGGGAGATATTCCTGATTACATTTCCGTTTCTCGTATCGAATACTCGGATCATGCTGTCTGCGAAGCCGGCGAGGACCGTGTGCTGATCCTTGTATGCGATGCTCAAGGCGCGCGCCTTTTTGTTCGTAGCGCGCGAAACGAAGCGCTCAAAGGTAAGGTCGTTGTTTTCGGTAGACAGAAGAACAATTGTGCCGTCAGCGCAGCCCGCAACAAGCCTCTGGCGCGCATTGCCCTCCTCTTTCACGGCTCCCTTTGCCACATTCTTTTGCCTAGGTTGGACCGCAAAGCACCAGACCTCGCTATGGTTTCCGTCCGAATGACGGGCGGGCAGACCAGTGGTAAGATCCCACTCGGTAACTGTGCTCGAGTATCCAATGCTGAAGAGGCGCAAGCGACCTGGGACTACCTTGCCTTGTGCATCGCGCTCATCCGGCTCTTGAGTCCAGGCCAGCCCTTCGACGCTCCGATCTTTACCGCCATAGAAGACCTTCTCTTGGAGCCATGATCCCTTTGCTGGGTCCCAGATTTCGATATTTCCGTTCGCGCGCCCGATAGCAAGTCTCAGCGACTCTGGATCTTGCTGTCCGTGTTCGGCTTCTGGATGCGAAAAGGCAAGCGCGTTGATCGCAGATGGCGGGAAGGGTACGAAACGTGATCGGTGGATATCCATGGTTGATTTTAAGAGGGGGGATTGATGAGCCTCTGATTGATCCAAAGCTGCGCGCGGGTCTACAAACCGAGCGCTAGCATCAAGATACTACACTCATGGTACTGAAGGAGCTGGTTCGCGAAGTTCTCTTGAACTCTTGGCAAAAGCCGACTTTGACTTTTCGGTGGGTCCAGTCGGAGCTCGGCGAATGTTTCTCCGAGATACTGACTACCTCCGCATCATCTCCGCAGCCGCCTCAGAGTATCATCAACTCAGATGGTTCGTACAAAGCAATAATGCATCAGGAGAAGTGAAAACGATCTCGTATATGTATCTCATTGACAAATAGGAATTCAAACGCCCCAAATAGGTCGCCTACACCTCGTACACTGCGTCGGCATGTCTCACGCTTCCAACCGCCTCCTTCGACGACTAGAATCATCTACCTGATCCTACGGGCATCGTAAAATGTTCACCTGATGGCTATTCCTGCGTCTATACATGAGGGGGCTTTGGGTGTGCCGTATACATCTTGGAGTGATAACCTGCGACGGTCTCGACTCGAGGCAGGGCAGCTGCAACTCGACTCAGTCCTGCATGCCTCCCTATAGCACTATCCCATCACAACTAGTATCAATCACTCAGGACGATAAGAGAACATACTCTGTTGGGTGTACAGGTGGTTATGGAGAGAAATGGCTGGTTTCGGTGATTGTTGACTATGTAGAGGTGATGCCCTATATGTGTGCTACGAGTGATTTGCAACATCTGTGATTTTCAATTGAGCCAATAGATTTGGTGTACACTACGAAATGCTTTGTGGCAATTCAGCCTTGGGAATAACAAGTTGGGCGAATTAGTCGTGTGTAAGGACGGGATGGTCTCGGTCGGTCTATTCTCAGAAAAAAACGGTGCAGGCGCGCTTTGTTTGCGGAAGCGATGACAATTCTGAATAAAGAAAGTTCCGGCGTTGCAGAAAAGGCCTCGCCACAAACCTGTAAGAAGTCACATGTTGGCCTCTCCTGACAAGGTTACGCGAGTCAAACTGGCTTCAGCGGCCCACAAGCGGACCAAACTCAATGCATCAACGCCCGCGTACGTCATGAATAATAAGGTGTTGCCATGCACGCGTTAGTGGCTTGACGCAAGAAAAAAAAGAGGCGAAAACCTAGATGATTGTGCAGGCGAAGAAGGACTTTGATATGGATACAACATCACAAAGCATGTCTGGCAATTGTCTGAAACTAGGACTAGTCAAGGCTGGGCAGGCCCGAGATTTCGTACAATTTGTGATGGCGCAACCACAAAATGATATTAATATTAGAATTCCCAGGGGTCGATGTGAGCGGAGATCAATTTGCGCACGATCAGTCGCATGTGGACGGGGCTTGGCGTCCAGTTGAGGTGGGATGAGCGTGTCCCATGCTGGTTACGGTCTTGTCATCCCGACATGTTTCAAGATGCTTGGTGGTGGGTGGTCTGTGAAGTGTGATTCTGCGCGTAAA